GATGTTTGCTGGGCTCAAATGGCTCTGGCAGTTGAGCGAACAATTTGGTCGATGGTTCTCATTAGCTTTCACATTATATCTAATTAAGCTGTGTCTAGGCCAGGCCCTGGAAACACAATTCTGCGAGAGCGATTACCCTCACCTGAAAAACCTTCCGGCAAGTCCACACCCCACAGAAAAGCCATAGGGGTTGCCTTCCTAAACGCAGGGATCCTTATCAGGGCAGTACTCTACTATTGATAAGGCCCTCTTTTTTCCTTTGATAAGAACTTGGCTGTTGTGGTTTTAAGGACAGTAAAAAAGAATGTCAATTGACCCAATGCTAAGGCTGATTTACACACAGACAAAAATATAACCTGTGGGGGCACAAAGGGTGCCCGGAAAACCTCTGCTCATTTTAGGGATTCGTTAACAGGAAGGGAGGTGAAAACATTTTCCAACCACGGCTCAGCATGGTTTGAACATCCCTCTAGGAGTTCTTCCCAGGATGTTTGTACATCGTGGGGTGGACATTTAGGTTCTTGACAGCGTGGGCTCTTTCCACTCTTGAAGGCCTTAGGGTTATTTCACAGCAATCACAACGAAATAGATGCAACCATATTCAAGGTATTTAAGATACAGGAAGTAATGTGATAAGGGTTGGCTAGTGACCAATTCAACTGTGGGAGATGGTTGGTTCCTACTTGGGAAGAGCGTGGCCAACGCAGAAGGTGGGTTTAGGTAGACACGAAAGCTGGAACTCCCTCTTGCAATTTAACCTGATAAGTTTCAGCAGAAAGAGGTTTAATGGAATCAATAGTAAGGTTAAGGACAGCTGAGAAATTGCTAACAAATGACTATGGGTTGTTGCGCGTGGGTCCCCGGCCAGCAGTGACCACGGAATGCTGCGGATGGCTCGACGATAAACACGCGAGAAAAAACGACATGCACAGAGACAGACTCGTTTCTGTGGGGAAGTAGGGACGGAATGGCCACCCCTTTTAGTGAGGAGCGCGCCAATTTACAGTCCATACCTGCTTTTATTGGGCTCATTCTGCATAATAATTCAGGTAAACTACAGAAGTCACTAGGGGAAGTAAGGAACTATAGAAAACAAAGAACTCTGCTGGTCTATTGAGTCAGGGTCAAAGAGCTGTAAGACTGAGGAACAAAATAACTTCCTCCTAAGACCCTTCTCATTCAACTGAGAGCATTCTAAACAAAGAAGGTTTCACAGTAATTTACATGTTCTTTCTTAGGCCTGATCACCCCGGGGAATCCGCACTTCCCAGTATAGAGCTGCACCACCCTGTCATTGTTTCAGGCTTAGGTGGAGCAAGGGAACTAAGGCAACTGGGAGACAAGGAGGTTTTTTTTCCCCAGACGCTGAGAACTCAGGCTATGTCAAAGCCGAGGAGTGAGGGTCCATCACCCCCTTTTGCTGCAGCCCCCCAAGTCCTTCTTTTGGGGGGCCTCCCAAAGTGATCGTGCCTGTCTTAGGTCGTTCCCCCCGTGGGGAATCTTACCCATCTTTGGCTAACCGACGAAGCTTTTTGGGGTTCAGTTATGAATAAAGCAGCAGAAGCAGCATTCCTGCCAGGAAGACAAGCTTTTGTCTCCTTGCTGGCTTACAGTTCCAAGGGCGTTCCCTTAGCCTTAGCCTAGGCAGGGGTTTCAGCTTCTGATACCAGTCAGGGCGGTTCCCAACAATGGGTCATCAGTTTTACTAGAGGTAGAAACTGGCATTGGATGACAATCCTGAAAGCATTGTATAACATACATCTATGCCCAAGGTTTGCCATTTTGTTTGCTAGCTCCAAAGCTAAAGAGCAGTGGACTAATGCACGTGCTTAATTAAACCAACATCCTTAGGCTACTTTTTATTTACTAAAGACAAATTCTAAATCATCTGCACTTCAAAAGCAATTGTATCAGTTTGTGTTACTTCTCCAATTTGTATAAAAAGTCTTTTGTTTTAAGCCAACTGAATGAGGCCCTTTCACAATCTAAATTTGAATTTACAAATCAATTTTTGGCAATATCATCCAGCCATAGGAACATACATTATCCATAACATAGACACACATAAAGGCACAGATAGCACAATAATACAAAACCAAAAAGAAAAATAATGGATCCAAAAGTAAAGAGAATGACTCCTAATTGACTTAAAAGCGACCAGTTTTCCTGGGGGGGAAGCTTGAACATCAGATGGCTGCTGCCCAACTAGAGACAACGATGGGGAAGGGAAAGTAGGCAGGGTGGTGGGCAAGGTGGGGGGCTGGAAAGTGAGGAATTTTCTGGGATTGTTTCAGTAAACCAGCTTTCTGAATCACAAGCACAAGGGCAAAGGAAAAGTTTTCCAACAATCCCACTTTTGTTCCAGTTTCCCTTTTAATTTAGCAAATGGTGACTGATCGGCATGTGAAAATTTAGAGCATGGGTTACCCATTTTGCACTCTTCCTTCTGGGTGGCATTCCCCTCGCCCCTGAATGCCTTTTAGTATGAGCATCCTCACAAACCTTAATGGACAAGGCCTAGTCCTAACCTGAAGGATACTCGCCCTAGGCACCAAACATGATGGAGGAAAGCCTTCCCTCCAGGATGCCTTCGCTGATGCCAAGTGCAAATTAGCGATACCCTTCCTAGGCATGAAACCCAAATCGTAAGAAGGGGTTCCCTGAGTCCAAACATACAAACTAAGGTCACCAAATAATGGTCCCCTATCTAAACTGAATGAAGTCTCTGAGACTTCGGTTGCAGACATGGGAGATCTAGGATTTGAAGAGACTTACCCGAGACCCTCAGGTGCCTCTGGGGAGATTACTGGAGCATGTTGGGAACAAGGAAATTAAGAACTAAATTTAACCTTAATAGACAAGAACCACATTGTAGCTAAAAAGAAATGATAAAAGAGACAAAGTACAGTTAAAGCAAACATCCTGTGTCTAGCAGACGCTCTCCCCTGGGTAGGCTAGATAAGCAGTGCTTTGTAGTTTTTAATGAGAAAATAGAAAACTAGCTAGCTAGAGCCAGGAGATTACTAGGTTAATGAACAAACATCCTGCCTTCCTGCCGTATGAAAGAATGCTTGGTTTGAAATTCCCGCGCGCGGTCTTTGTAAGTGAATTACTAACTGCCACGTCTGCTTCTGTATAACGCTTGCTTGCCCGCCCATATATAAGAACGTAGTTGTAAGCGCTCGGCACGGCTCTCGCTTTGCAGCTCCTTGTGGGCACTGTGTCGCTGGACACTTTGAGAGTTCGCCCCTGCGCAGGTTAAACTTGGCCAATAAAGTAACATCTTTGATACCCTGAAAGTCTCCGATATTTGTTCTCAAGTTTGCTGGATGCTACAGAGCACAGGGGTCGTTCAGGCTTCGGACAAGTTGGTTTCAGGATGGCGTCAGGAGATGCGGTCATCACTTCAGAGCCCCACAATAGGCTCCAAGGAATGTCAACTGATGGTCATTGGCCAACAAGAATTCCCAATTTGGATTTGGGGTACCATAAAGAAGGAAACTCTTCAATACAAACAGCGATACAACAGGATTGGGCTGTGAAAACGGCACAGGCATGGAACAAACACTAGGCCTAGGCAGCTCTGGAGCAAGGCTGCTTTTGCAGCCAGACAGCTTCAGTGTTCAGTTCCAGCCCAGCATTGCCAGCCCAGAAAGAGTTCAGCGGTAGGCTTTCATGGAAAGTAATCTCCCTGAACTGCACTGGAGCTGGCTTATATAGACACAAGTCCACACACCTGGTTCCTAATTGGTCCATTGTCATGCAAATTGTTCAGAATAGAGTCACCCTGGTCACAGCTGGGCAGCTCTTTGAAAGGGAAAGCCACAGTCCTATTGATTGAAGTGAGCCTCCTGGAAGTGGAAAGCTGGCCCAGGCTGCAGAAACCTAGTGCAGGCAGGCAGTTTAGTGTCAGGCACAAAGTACAGTACAGAGGCTTCTCCACGAGGTTCACATGAGAGGCCCCTGTGCAGAAATGCCTGTTAGATTCTGCTTTTCTTTTCTTTAAATTTGAGCTCAGTTGGCCACAAGGAGCCCTTCTTAATCCTCAGGGTTCACAGTGTACATTTCCAAGTATAGAAACAAAGATAAGTTACACCAGAGAGACCCTTCCCATACCCCACCCCTCACCCCTGCCCTCCTCCAAAAGACGTGATAGTTTAAGTGACTTGTACATTCTGGAGAAGGTCTTATGGGCAGGTGAGACCTTAGATTGCTGCTGCAGGTTCTTACCAGCAATACCTAGGGACACCAGAACACACTATGCGTTCTTCGTATATTGCTATCCATGCTGGGCTGCGTTCTCAGTCCGGCCAAAACAGAAAAACCCTCATCATTTTCTGTCTGCTACCTCACAGTAGCTTCAAATTATCACATTATGGCCCTTGCCACTTGCAGCAATTAATATGTCTCAAAGTACAATAACTCTCTTGGAAGCAGATCATTATTTACGTGTATAGGCTTTGTAAGTCCCCCTCAAAACTTTATTTCCTTCTACGTCCTACTGAAAGCTGAAGTTTTGTTACTGAAATCCGTCTCTTCTAATTAAAATGTCAGCCTAATTATGATAGGGATTTCATCTGCAGGTTTCATCGCTGCAGTCGAGGGCAAGTTCTCAGAAAATGTCAACGGGTGACGTTTACGCACTCTCACATTACACTGTGATTTCATCTTATTCACATCTAGGAAGTCTTATCTCCACTTATTGAACATAGAGACTGCAAATCAGAATTGAAGTATCTTGCCCAGAGTTTCTCGGCAAGTAAGAACGGGTACGGCTTCAAGCCAGTAAGCTCCAAAGTCCTCACGAGCCTATTCAAAACCCAGCACGACCACAGCAGGCCTCTGAGTTGAGAGCCCTCAGCGAGAACACGGTCAGCATAGCGGGCGGACCGGCTCCCTAACTTCGGCAGGGGGCAGGGCAACACCGCCAGTCCCGGGTCGCTCGCGTGACGTCAACGCAGCGACTCGGAAGATTTCCCAGAGAGCTAGAGCTTCCCAGATCCCCGCGGGCGGCGCAGTGGGCTAATCTTTAAGGCCTTGTGGGTGACCGACTGCTCTTTAGCAGTGTGTGGCTAGGTGTCTTGGGTGGGCTGCCAGGAGGTTTGGACGGGCTCGGATCTCCTGCCCACCCCTCAAGGCCTTCAGAATGGGGGGTGGCAGGAGCTTGAGTCCGGCAGGGGATTGTGTGAAGGAGGCAGGGCACCCCGAGACCTGGGGCTGGTTGTGCACCGGTTGTCCCAGCTTCAGGGCGACCGCTTGGCCTCTGATTTGAATCAGTGGTGTCTGGCGGGTTGGTGTCGTGCAAAGACTAAACCGATCTGTGTGATGTCCCCTGAGTCGTCCAGCCTTGGATCCCCTGCTCCTCCTTTGGAAATAATCCTGCCCTGCCTACTTGGTAGCTGGTTTCAAAGAGCGAATGAGAAATTGTTTGGGAAGCTATAAAGTGCATTGTTTTTAAACGTAATTAATAATGTAAGTTAAGAAGTTGGTGGGTACAGGGTTACGAGTTTCTAGATTACTTAACTTTCTTTAAAATACCAAGTAACCTTGGAAGAATCCCCAAAGCAAGAGAATTTGATGACACTCCTGTGATGACTAAGTAGCAGCTTCTGCAGTTGTAAAGAAAATAGTATCTTAAACTTAATGATCTCATTACTTACGAAATCTGTTTACCAGATTTTGCTTTTGTTTTTTCTTCTTGAAAGATCCAAGTCAGGCATCCAATAAGTATAGAATTCTTTGTTGGAGAGAATGTATTTGATTTAGTTAATGAAAATGAGAACCTTAAACAATAGATTTTGCATTAATTCTCTGGGGCAACCACTGGGAAACTCAAAAGTAGAAAAACATCTTAATCGAGTAGTTTTGTGTGGTGAGTGCTGTAATTTGTCATAAAAATGGCATTGTTAAAAATTCTCATCTGAGGATATGTTTATGAGGAGAGAGAGGTGAAAGGTGGAGACAGGTGAACGATGTGAGAGAGGTTACCACCTGAATGAGCACCCAACCAGGATAGAATCCACAGACCTTTTGGTGTATGGGAGGATACTGCAACCAACTTAGCCACCTAGTCAGGTGGCATTAAAAAAAACACTTCACTTTATAATTTTGCTCCTTACTTTGATGTTGAGTAATTTTAGAGTATAATCTATTGAGTAGATTGTCCTCAAATGAGAAATTAACTGCTATATGTGTTTTGGCATTAAATTTTTTTTTTGCATGTAAAACTACAAACATTTTGTAAACTACAAACTTTTGTAAAAATGCTTTAGTATAATACATTCTATAGTTTAGGCAGTTTGTTTTTTAGATTTGGCAGAGAGTAGCAGAAGGTATCCTTAGGCCCTGTTGCTTGGAAAGAGGTTCTTCCTCATAATCTGAGTGCATGCTATGGTAAGTCTTCCTAATATTTTACAATGATCATTTGTATGTGTAAAGGAAGCTTAAAATTTTTACCCTGTGCATCACAAAATCGTATTTGTAGAAATGCTTACTAAAAGGAATACTGTTAAGTACTAAAGATACCTTAAAATTTTAAGCATAACATTTCCTAACCTTATGGGTCTCAGCAGTTGTAGAATCATTTTGCTCTCTGTAGGAATATTTTATCAATGTTCTCTAATTGATAGTAAATGACATGGATGAAAATGTATTTTGAATCAGGAGGAAAATCAATAAGTATGAAAACTTTAAAAACTCGAATAACTAAAATCTTATTTACCTTGAAACCTGGAAAGTAGGCTTTAAAAAAATCACTTTTACCTTCAAGGAAATACTAGTAATTTTGAGTTTTTAAAAAGTTAGTGGTTCCTAAAATTTCTTTGATGAGTTTCAAATATTTTTATTTAATCTGCATTGAGAAGCCCTGAGAACATTGTATTGATATGGTGTTTTATTGAGTTGTGGTACTACATTTAGAGTCTAAATTTAAGTAAATTTATTGGCAATTTAAATATCAAATAGAATATAAAAACTTACTTCTTAACAATTATAAAGTGACTAGATGTGACTTGTGTAAAGTATTATATTAAATAGTAATTAGCATAGTTTATATATAGTGGATTAAAAATGGATGGATTGTGGGTAGAATTTTTTTCTATCAAAGGTTGATTTTGTTTCCTCCTAAATTCAGTTACTAAACCCAGACTTTATTTGCATTAGTCTTTTCAAAGTAACCATACAGGTTTTTAACCACTTTATCTGAGTCAACTTGTAACAATACTGAAGACAAAAATTAAGCATGTGGTGCTTTAATTTGGTTTTATTGGTTAACTTTATATATATGTATATATATATAATATGTATATTTTTACATTGTTGTCAATTGATAGAGAATTCTACATTTCTACCTGTTTTTGTCCTCATCTGTGTATATTACCACCCCCCTCCCAGATTTTCTTCCAGCTCTGACCCAGCATTGAGGTGATTGTATCATTAATTTTCAACATCATTTTTCTCAGCGAAGTTACCATAGACAGTTCATAAGTTCAGAGATTCATTAATTGTATGCCTTTGACACAGTTATTTTTATGAAGAGTGACTGTACGGAAGTTTCTCTTTCTCCGTCTCTCTCTACCAGGCTCCCTGAAACTCCCTATCTTCGTAACACTTCTCCTACCAGTGATGTTTAGATCAACTTCAGTGAAATGACTCTTCAGGAATTGGTGCATGAGGCTGCCTCCATTTATTCCAATAAAGTAGCTGTATGTTTTGATGACTGTAACAACCAACCTCCAGTTTATTACACCTACAAGACTCTGGTTAATACTGCTTCTGAATTATCAGATTTCCTGCAATTACACTGTGACTTCCAAGGAATTCGAGAAATTGGTCTCTACTGCCATCCTGGGATAAACGTACCCTCTTGGATTTTAGGGTAATATGTTTTAGAACAAAAAATTAGATGTTATTCTAACCTACTTTATGATGCTTTAATACATAGAATATATTGCAGGTTATTTTTCTCTTTACTATTGGATTTTTTGGTATTAGTTTGTATATTCTAGAGAGGCTAAAGGAGATCATATTTCCCCTAGGATTACTTTAAATTAATTCATCTGGGCTTATTTAGGAGAGACTAGAAGTTTTCACTAATAGTAGAACATTTAAATATTTCCAAAATATAAGGTCTTCATTTGTCTGCTAAAGGAAAAGTTACAAATTCTATTGCTAGATAAAACAAAACACGTATTTCAGAAATATTATGACTTTTTTTTCCCTTCTAAGACTGAAGGCTTAAGTATTCAAGTATTCAATAAGTGAATGAATAAATAATTGAGAGTTTTGCATAATACTCCCTAAAAATTGAGATATCAGTTGAGGAAGGTGCTAATTCAAACAAGTATTTGCAAAATGTTCAATTATTTAAGTTGTTCTAAAATATTATTCTTATGTAGTGATTTCTATATTAGGGTTCTGCAGTAAATACAAGCTGTAAAGAATTAGACAAGTTGATACTCCTCTCATAGTATGTGTGTTAATAGTTTAACTGTATAAATGTAAGATAAAAAAAGTTTAAAAATTTTTCATTAATGTTCTTTTCCCTTTTAAGGTATACTGGTTTTGGTGAAATATGTCTTTTTAGTATGCAGATTACTAGAGTCCCTCTGCATACTAATAAGTTACATGTGGACATTCAGTTTATTTTATGTTAGTCTACACAGATGAGTAAATAAGAGTCTGCTACCTGTTTGGTATCTAGTAGTGGCCAGTTAACCTAATTTATTTTACTGTGATACATTAGCTTTTAAAATCTTAGATTTCTCTGTATAGTAATGAGAATTTAATGTAGCAAACACTCAGGATATTCACTTTCAAGAGTTAGATAAAAAATAACTACTTATAAATAAAAATGTATCAACAAAAACATTGGGAATTTCCGTTTATGGCAATAGTAAAGTACGTAGAAAAATAGAAATGCTTAAAGATTATTTTCAATATACACTGTATGCTAACTGTATACTTTGTCTCTTTAGAATTCTCCAACTCCCTGCTGCTTATGCTCCCATTGATCCAGATTCACCACCAGCATTATCAACTCATTTTATGAAAAAATGTAATCTAAAGTATATCCTTGTTGAAAAACAGCAAATTAATGTAAGTATATATATTTAAGTGTTCTTCATGTGTTATATTTATCTTTCATTTGAAGGGTCTCCCCTTAATCCCCTCTTGATTTCTAAAAACACTAACTCTGCAGGGTTTTTCAGTCTCAGCACTGTTGACACGTTGAGTTGGGTAATTGTTTTTTTGTGAGGAGTCTCCTGTACATTGTAGGATGTTTAGCAACATCCCTGGCCTCCAGCCACCAGATGCCAGTAGCACCCCCTAGTTCTGACAGCCAAAACTGTCTCCAGACATTACTTAATGTCTGCTGGAAGTGCTCTCCACACCCCCCCACCCCCCCGCCGTCTGTTGAGAAACGCTGCTCTGTGGCATGAACATATCTTCTGGCTTTATTATAATAATGTATTGTGCTTTGTTTTGAATTTCCTTTCTCTCTCCAAAGTTGTTTTTATCCTAGGAAAGTTTTATACTACTTGAAACTTTTATTTTTATATATTTATGGTAATTTACAGTGGTCAGAACCATTAAAGAATTATAAGCAAGCTTAGATTTTGAAAAAGAGGTTGGTACTTAAGTCAGACCTTTCTGGAAGATTACATTTATTACATTTAAAAACTTTCTGACTGCCAACCAAAGAGCTAGCCAAGAAACACAGCTGTAGGGGCAAGTGTTGGTGTTATATGTTCAGCAAGATGCAGCCCATATTGCATTTCTTATTTAGAGTCAGGTCACCTGGGAGGGCACTGGTGTGTGAAAGAAGCCCATGACAGGATTCTTGCCCTTCAGCTGTCTGTCATTTAGTTGGAGGGAAAAGGATAATACTCCCAAACCTGTAAGGTCTGCATAGTGTGATATTGTCCTAAGTGAAGTAAATGTAACCTGGTAGAGATAGAAAAATTTTAATAGTAGATGATGGTTTTTGAGCTAAGTCTTTAGAATATGTAGTTTCCTAGTTGTTTGACTATTAGAGGCCACATTACACCCTACCTGTAATATATATATACTAAACAAACAGAGAACACCGCAGACTTCTGGGTTTTGATGTTTTTTCTCTCATTTATACTGAATGAAGACTTAAGTTATATTTCATTAAGCTGCTTCTTATCAAAATAAAAAGGTATATTCAGAGGAACCTCACTTTGGACATGTACAAACTGAATTTAGCATCTTTTCATCCAAACTTAGTTCTGTAGTTCTATATTAATCTATGTCTACCAAATACCTAACTCAGAAACTCAATCTTCTTGGGGCTCACTCTTTCCAGAAAGTTACCAAGCCCTATTGATTCTTTGGTCATAGACCCTTTCTGTTCACTCTGGTGGCAACACATTAGTTCAGGCTCATATAGCATATCTGAATTGTTGCAAACAGTTCATTAAGTGGCTCTCACTTATCAGAGTCTTGACAGAATAAAGTGTAGTCTATGTGGTTTCCATCTTCAATTGGACCCCATCACTCACACATTAAGGTCTTAACTCCTTAGTGCTGACTATGCAGAGTTATTCAGGATTAGCATTTCCTGTTAACGGCACTACTCACCTTCCCCTTGCCCAATTCTGCAGCTTGTTGGAATGCTTAATATTCTCCACAACACCAGTTTTCTTGGGTTTTATACTCTGTATTGGCTCTTTATTTGAAGAAGAGCTACTTATAAACACAAATATTACATATGAAGCAGCAATCTCTGACCTAGGCAGTTAAGTTCAACTTCCTTTGTTCCCATTAACATTTTAAGCATATTTCCTTGTCGTACTTAGCACATTATACTGCAGTTGTATGTTTTTATATGTCTTTATTTTGAAAATAAAGACAGCACTTTACTCTTGGAGGTTTGCAATTTATTTTTTTTTTTAATCCCTGGGTGTATAGCGAGTTCTCAAAAAAAAATTTAAAAAGCCATAATGAAGCCCTGGCTGGTGTAGCTCAGTGGATTGAGCGCGGGCTGGGAACCAAAGTGTCCCAGGTTCGATTCCCAGCCAGGGTACATTCCTGGGTTGCAGGCCATAACCCCCAGCAACCGCACATTGATGTTTCTCTCTCTCTCTCTCTCTCTCTCTCTCTCTCTCTCTCTCTCTCTCTCTCTCCCCCTCCCTCCCTTCCCTCCCCAAAAATAAATAAATAAAATCTTTAAAAAAAAAAAAGCCATAATGAATGAGTAAATGAACACTTCTTATTACTTCTAGGTAAAAAAGAATGTCTTTTAACATATTGGAAAATTTTGTTCTTCCTTGAACAGAAATTCAGATCTTCCTATGAAACATTATTGAATACATCTGAAACATCTACAGTAGAACATAATGACCTAGTACTCTTCAGACTTCACTGGAAAAATGCTGAGGTGAGCTGGATGCTTAATATTAGCAAGGAAGAATCTGAAAAAGAAAAAATGGCAAACAGCATGAGCTCTGAGAACAGCAATGAAGGAAAGTCAGAGGAGCTCATGGATGCGAGGCTGAAGCATTGTTTAGCCTATGTTCTCCATACATCAGGCACCACGGGGATACCTAAGATTGTCAGAGTCCCTCATGCGTGCATAGTGCCGAACATCCAGCATTTTCGGTAAGTTCTGGCCTCAGAGTCCTTCTTCAGTACTTGTAGCCCCAGTGTTATTCAACCATACACGTTTTATGTGACAGCCCTTCATAAGGAGTGAAGACTCAGAGATGGCAGAACCTGTGCTTGCTTTTGTATCAGGTTGAACAAAGTTGTGTTCAAAAAGTGACTAAGCTATGTGGGTAGGCCATGGGAAGATAAGAATTATTTTATCAAGGTCTGTTTGTGTAGAATTCTCTGAGTCTCAACTTCTGTTCCTTAATGATAAGAATGTTACTTTCCTTCTGGTGGAGAGAGGACAGTCTTTCATATGGGAATTTCAGCTCCTGCTTTTAAGGGGGGCGGGGGGGGGGGAAGAAGATCAGATTGTTTTTCTTTTATATGCTGTTTTTCCAAGTGCCCTTAACTCAACTCCATCATGAAAAGGTTAAAGTTAGAGGGCTTATATACCTAATTTGTTAGAGAGAGGGGAGGGGAAGAAAAGGCTTCTGTGGGAAGAACAAGTATGCTGCTTTAGGAAAGACAGACAGATAAGAAACTTTGTAATAATGTTGGTTTGTGCTGATGAGAATAGTCTTTCCTGCCGTGGGCCATAAAACTCCCCTGCAGAGGGGATTATGGTAGTTTACTCTTTGTGTCCTTACTGGAAGTAAAAGCCACTCTGAAGGGAATTTATGGCAGCCTCGTTTCCCAAAAGCTGCTGCTATAGTCAGATAAGGGATGCTGGAAGAAGGCTTTGTTCCTGCATCTGTTGAATCTAAAATGTCTTGAGCTTAAAATACTCATACCAACTCTGGGCTTCTGAATGGGTCCCCACATCACCATACTTGAAGATATTTTGAAGGTAAGGTAATCCCTGCTTTTAGATAGGTTAGGTTTTATGTGTTCAAATTGAAGTAGTGCCACAGGCTCAACAATGACTGTCCATGCTCTGTATTATCCTAGGTACATACGTTCTGTGCTGCTTTTTGTTTAGCTACTAAGAAAATGTGCCAGATAGTCAGAGAAGGGAGTCAGAGGTCTCTACTAAGCATCACTGAATAAGTAGGATAGAATAGGCCCAGATTCCTCCCAGAAGGGAAGAACCAGGAGGATATATCAGAGATTTATTGCAAGGAATTTGTTTATGGTTGTACGGGCTGGCTAAGCAACACTGAAGTCCGCAGGGTAGACAGAAAGGGATGGTCTTGAGTAGGTGGAACCTCATGGGCATGCGCTTGTCCACATGCAACTTAGGAAAGAAGATCCACGGGGTAGGGAGAGTAATTGCAGACTCAGCTGCTGTTTTAGAGACTCTTCTCCAGAAGAGACCTAAACATAAAGGCCTTCCAACTGACCAAGTCCAGCCAACCCAGTATGAGATCTCTTTTGATTAAAGTCAAGCTGATCAGGAACTTTAATCATCAACAAAAATCCCTTCACAGCAGCACCTAGAATAGTGTTTCATTGAATAACTGGCCAAAAGTGGGTGTGCTACCAAATGCAACTGCCTCCCTCTGTCTTCTAGCTTTCAAAAGAGAATGAATACCCTTGTCTTCTACCCAAATGGAAAACATACTAGAAAGGGAATTCTGGGGACTGTAGTTCAGTCCAGCCAAGTTGGCACATCAGAAAGCTATCACAGATGATAGAATAAGTCATAGTAAAAAAATAATATATTGCTTTAAGTGGCTGTTAATCCTTACATTTATAAAGAAGAGTTCTAGAATTAATAGCACTTTTGTTGAATCTTAAGAGAGAGAGTAAAAATCTGGCTTTTATCCAAAAACTTACTGATCATAAATTCTTTGTTAGGATATGTGGTTCCCAAATGTTAGACGTTTCTTATAACTGCACTCTGTTTTGCCTTAGGGTACTTTTTGAGATCACACAAGAGGATGTTTTGTTTCTGGCTTCACCGCTGACCTTTGATCCTTCAGTTGTGGAAATATTTGTTGCTCTATCAAGTGGTGCCTCTCTGCTGATTGTACCAACTGCTGTCAAGGTGTTCCCATCAAAATTAGCTGCTGTTCTCTTTTCCCATCACAGAGTGACTATTTTGCAGGTACATTTCAGAAGCAAATGAAATGTTTAGTTCTCCATGATTCAATGCTTTAAGTGTTTTAGAAAATATTTTGCACTCCTGTAGTTCTTTATAATGGATTCATGATAATGTAGTTCGATTATCAAAGACTGTCCCTGATGAGCTCACTTTTCTTTTCATTTGTTTGCAAATGAAAAAAATATCAGTTAATTCTGCCTACAAAATTACTTTATTGTGCATTTTGTGTATACTGTAATAACTAGAGGAACCCGGCTTTCACTCAGACTTGTTGGGATAGGCTGCCTTGCCTGTCTTAGAGTTTAAGTTTATTGTATTTCACACTAAAACCTCAGTCAGTTAAATTATAATTGAGTTAGAAATTTAGATTTTCTAATTTTTACATTAGCATATTTAACCTACAGAAACATATTAAGTTTGGCATTTTTAAAAATTAAAAAAAATATATTTGAAAGTATGTTACTGGTACATAAGCCTTAAGATATTAATTGCAAGTAGTTAGATACTAGAGAGAAATAATAAAATTATGTGTCTATCATGATAAACTAAAAACACCAGGATTATATATAGCATAATGAGACTCAAGAGGATGTTAAATTTCTGCCCCAAAGACAAAATTTGATACCAAGTTTGTTTTTTTGGCAGTGTATTTTTCATCCTGAAAAATAAATAAACACACATACACACACATATATACATACACATACCTATACGTGTGTACATGTATACATATATACACACACACCTACACTTACACATTCACAGAATGACTCACCAACAGATAAGAATTTATTGATACTTAGCAGGCCATATTGCTATACTCAATTCATATATATATATAAACATATCTGTTGGTGAGTCATTTTGTGAATCTGGGCAAGATTTTAATATAGCTTTTATTTTCATATAAAATTAGAGGAACATATTTTTCAGGCAATGTTTGCAAAGTGCCATAATAGATTTGAGTGATAGTTACCAAAGGAATCAGGAGACTTTACTTCTATGTCAAGTCAGTGAACTATACCTCTTTATTCCAATCCTCTTGCTTAATGTTTTAGCATAATCTCAAATATATTTACCTTAGCAGTGGTTTTTAACTTTTTTGACATCATTGCTCTTTTTGAGAAACTGATACACGTTCACTAACTCTGTTCCCAGAACACAGCAAATTTGCATATAGTTTCATGGTGATTTTATTTAACTGACAATACTTATTTTGGAATATTATCCACAGATCACATTTGACTTTGAGTAAGAAACTACAGAAACTGACAGGTTCTTCTTTCCTTTGTATAAAACACATGATCTTTAATTAATTAATTAACTAATTAATTTTATTGTTCAAGTACAGTTGTTTCCATTTTCCCCTCACCACTAACCCCGCCCCCTCATGTTGTCAGGGTTCATCTTTTACTTCCAAAGTCAGATTTCTTATTAAATGATATGTAAGTCCTCAAGAATTTGTGTGTGTTTAAAAAGAGCTCCCTGTACAGATTTTGTTTATAAATAATAACCTTACCCAAATATAATTTGATACTAAGCAAGGATCACAGAAGCTTAAAGAGAACACATGCTACTAAGATTTTGAAAGTTGGAAAAAATAGAACATGTTGAGTTATTGTGGAGGAGAAAGGCCCCAAAGTGAAATGGATTGAGCTTTTGAGGAAATTAAGGATCTGTTCTATTTGTTTCAGGAGTAAGGAGTTTCTTCTCTTGGGAAGAAAGGCCCAATTTTTCGTTCCTTACAAACCTAAAATATATTTGGGTATGTTTTGTTTACTTTGGGTAACAAAAGTTGTATTATTTATACCTTTTAAAAATATTTTTATTTATTTGTAGAGAGAAGGAAAGGGAGGGAGAAAAAGAGGGAGAGAAATATTAATGTGTGAGATGATCAGTTGTCTCTTGCACGCCCCCAACTGGGGACCAGGCCTGCAACCCAGGCATGTGCCCTGACTGGGAATCAAACCAGTGACCTTTCAGTTCACAGGTCCGAGCTCAATCCACTGCACCACACCAGCGAGGGCTATTTGTACCGTTTAATTAGAGAGGCAACTACGAGAACTAACAAGTTGGCCAAGATTGGAGGATATAGGCTCAATATACAGAATCAACGGTATTTCTACATAATAGAAAGAAAACCCCCAAAATTAAAATAATAAAATAATTATATTCACAATAGCATAAGAATAATAAAACAGGAATAAATTTAAAGAAGAGCAAAACTTGAACAGTGCAAACTATAAAATATTGTTGATGGATATTGAAGAGCTAGTTGGTGGCATGCAAGAAGTTGCCAACTAATGTTTCTCTCACATTGGTGTTTCTCTCCCTCTCTTTCCCCCTCCCTTCCCCTCTCTCTGAAAATAAATAAATAAATAAATAAATAAATCTTTATTAAAAAATTGAGGGGCTAAATACATGAAGAGATGTTTTATGTTTATGGATAAGAAGTCTCAATAATGTCAAGATTACAGTTCTTCCCCACATTGATCCATACATTAAATATGGTCCCTATCAAAATCCTGGCAGACTTTTTTGGGTAGAAATTGATAAGCTGATCCTAAATTTTATGTGGAAATGTAAAAGCCATTCATAAACCATGCCATGGAATACAACTCAGCAATAAAAAGTCATATGATCTGAGTGTATCTATCCACCACTCCTAAATTCACATTAGTGTGATGGTATTAGGAGGTGGGACCTTTGGGAGAGCTTCGGTCAGGAGGATGGAGCCTTATGAATGGGATTAGTGCCCTTGCAAAAGAGATCCCACAGAGCTCCCTAGCCTCTTCTACTTTGTGAGGACACAGCAAGAAGGCTGTCACTAGAACCCACCCATGCTGACACCCTGGTTTTGGAATTCCAGTGTCCAAGAACTGTGAGAAATAAATGCCTGTTGTTCATCATCTATCCAATCTGTGGTATTTTGTTACAGTAGCCTGAACAGAGTAAGTAAGACAAAAAGGAGTAAACTATTGATACACACAAATTAGAATAATCATGAAGTATTTGAGTGAAAGAAGCCAGATCAAAACAGAATACATGTTGTATGATCAAATTTTTAGAAAATCTAGAAAATTCCAGCTGATCATAAGTGACAGAAAATAGATCAGCACGTGTCTAGAGAAGGGGTTCAGTTGGAGGGAAGAATTGCAATGGTGTATAGGTAATTTTAAGGGTGATGAGTATGTTTATTTGGATTGTGATGGTCTCACAGATTATATTGTAAAATTTATATTCTATACCTTAAATATGTACAGTTTATTGTATGTCAGTTGTACCTCTATAAAGCTGTTTTTAAAAATATTCATATTGTTTTCTTTAAGCATCTTTTTTACCCCTTTTATGTACTTTTTACATAGAGATAACGGGAGAGGGGGTGTAAATTCTAGATTTTGTCATTTTTATCTTGAAACCTTTTTGTCTAGACTATATAATGAAACATAACTAATATTTTTCTCAAGTTTTTTGCTAAAGCAAAGTTGATACTCACTTTCAGAAGATAATGTTGCTCCAGGAGTTTTCAAAATATGATTTGCCATTTAATAAACATAGTCTTAATTTCCTTGTGGGCTCCCAATGTTAAGCTTTGAACCAATTATTGCAGTGTTTACCTTTTAAAGAAATGAAGGGGAAAAATAAATTATTTTTAATGTTTCTACAGGCAACCCCGACATTGCTTAGAAGATTTGGATCTCAGCTTATTAAGTCAACTGTTCTATCAACCAGTACTTCTCTTCGAGTACTAGCCCTTGGTGGTGAAGCATTTCCATCACTGACTGTCCTCAGAGGCTGGAGGGAAGAGGGCAATAGAACACAAATATTTAATGTTTATGGTATCACAGAGGTATCAAGTTGGGCGACTTTTTACAGGATTCCAGAGAAGATTCTTAACTCTACTTTGAAGTAAGAGTTTTAATAACTAAATAGGGGAGAATGAAACTATTTTTCCAGTATCTTAACACTAATAGAGCTTTTGATAGTCACTGGGGTAATAATTTTAGAACACTATTTAATCTAGAATTTTAAGCTGAGAATCCAGAACCTTTCTTATTATAACTGGTGCTACAGATCCTGCTAGAACTTTTTGTGACTTAACAGCAACAAATAACATGATAACTTTTTCATCTGACCTTTTCCTCTTGGTAATCTTTGAATTATAGCATAACAAAAAATATTTTGTTTATTTGATACAATGTGATTTAAATACATTGGAAAATATTCTATTCAAATGAAAGATGTTACATCTGGTTTGGATTGTTGTGTTTTCATAGATGTGAATTGCCTGTACAACTGGGATGTCCATTGCTTGGAACAGTAGTTGAAGTCAGAGATACTGATGGTTTCAGAATTCAAGAAGGCAATGGCCAAGTATATTTAGGTTGTTTTCTATTCATTGATTGGGATTTTTTTTTCAAGAAAAAATGAATGTTAATTTTATTTTTCCCTAGTTTTTCTTCTATCTAGTGTTCTTTTCAGTGATGATAATTTTAATCTCATCTTCACAGTGAGGAAACATTTAATAAGTTACTGTAATTGTTAGAGATAACAGAGGCTAACACTCTAAGGAAGTTGGACCTTTATATTTGTAGCCAAAACTCTATTTAATCAGTGTTCTAAGAATTTTTAAAATCACATTTGTTTTTAGAAATTTTTTTACCCTTATTTTACTTGAGGTTAGTATATCTAATTTTCTAATATTTAAAAGTGAGCCCACCTTTCTTATAAATCTGAAACTGAGTAACTGAACATTTGGAGATATTTTGATTTGAAGGTTTTTAATATGTTTTCCATGGATTTTTTTTATTACACTGATGTTTATATCTTGTGCAGGTGGCAGAAACAGAGTATGTTTTCTCGATGGTGAGATGACAGTAGCACTCGGCACCATGCGAGCCACAGGAGACTTCGTGACTGTGAAGGATGGCGAGTTATTTTTCTTGGGACGAAAGGACAGTCAGATCAAACGTCATGGCAAACGTCTGAACGTTGAACTTGTGCAACAGGTAGAAGTATTTAAATTAAATACTAAAATATCTATTCACATATGTGTGTATTAGAGGCAGCCACCACCAGTTTTCTATGCCAAGATTCTCTATCAGTGTCTTTGAAGCCTAAGATTTGGATATTAGTGATGAATTATAATATAAGGTAGGGATAATTCAGTGTGCTCTTTATTCCTAGCACGAAGAGATAGTTTTTTTAAAAACAAGTAACAAAATGGATTTTGATAACTGAAAATTGGTTTATTTTGCTGTAAAAGCAATTATTTTTGAAAAATATTAACCTGTGTATTGGCAAAAAGAACAGTCTTTTGAAATATTTAGTGTATTGCACAATATAATTTGACTGTGTTGATTTCAGACATAATGAGTTTGAGCATTTAGGAAGTTTGTTTTTAAATGTCCTCACTGGCAAATTGGGATGATCTCTCTCATAGGTTGCTGAAGGACTTCAGCAAGTGGAGTCCTGTGCAGTCATATGGTATAATCAGGAAAAAGTCATTCTGTTCATCGTGTCCAAAACTGAGTTAGTAAAGGATGACATCTTTAAAGAACTGGAGAAACAGCTTCCAAGTCATGCAGTCCCAGATGAGCTTGTGCCGGTTGATTCTCTGCCATTCACATCTCATGGTAAAATAATTTGAAGCAGATATGTTTTAGTGTCAAATGATACTAATTGTATTCATAAATAGTGTAAAGGACATGCAGATCCTTCTTATAAGTACTGTATTTTGCCGTGTATAATGTGCACCCACAGTTTTCTGCACATTATACACAGTATTGTTATACCCATGGTATGTAATCATCATACCCATATATAACACATACCCTTATTTTTCCCTCAAAATTTTGGGCAAAAAGTGACATTATACATGTTAAAATACAGTAATATGGAATATATTGTGGTAGACACTCTGTTAAATGCTTTGTGTGATTAACTCAGTTTATCTCCAGAAGATCTTGTGAGTAGGTATTATTATTCCTATTTGAAGATGTGGAAAGTAAGGTTTAAAGAGATTAAGTAATTTTTCTAAGATTACATTGCTGGTTAGTGGTAGAGCTGCAATTCTGTTTAGGATTGTTTGACTTCAAAACATTTGCTCTTAGGCCCTGGCTGGGTCGCTCAGTTAGAGCATCGTCCTGACATGCCAAGGTTGTGGGTTCAGTCCCTGTCAGGGCACATGAACATACAGCAGCCCGTGAATGCATAAATAAGTAGAACAACAAGTCAGTGTTTCTCTTTCTCTCTCACTTCCTCTGTATTAAAAAAAATCAGCCCTGGCTGGCATAGCTCAATGGATTGAGCGCGGGCTACAAACCAAAATGCCACAGGTTTGATTCCCACTCAGGGTACATGCCTGGGTTGCAGGCCATGACCCCCAGCAACCGCACATTGATGTTTCTCTCTCTCTCTCTTTCTCCCTCCCTTCCCTCTCTGAAAATAAATAAATAAAATCTAAAAAAAAAAGATCTTTAAAAAAATCAATAAAATTTTCTCTTAATTACCATATTATATTGCTTTCCCAATTTCATCTTTATTTAATATTTACTTCAAAATGTAATAATTTCCTTAACTCTTAATAGTACCATGTCTTTAACTCTTTAATTAGAAACATTAGCTAATCCTCTTTTCTTATCTGTATCTGTATAATTATTACCCATTACATTCTTGGTAGGATGGGACTGCTTTCTTTAGAATTGATTATCTATGACAAACTATGTAATAGATTTTCTAACCCTTACACTGAAAAATGTGTGTATTCTTGTGACTAACAAAAATAGAAACGGTTTGAGCTGAAATTTAAAAGTTATTTCTTTTTTATATTAAGGCAAAATTGATGTTTCTGAGTTAAGCAGAATTTATTTAAACTACACAAACTTGAAGTCTGAGCATAAGCTCAATGGAAAAGAGGAACTTTGGGAAAAATTACAGCATTTGTGGAAGGTACAACTTTTAAGATATAAACTTATTATTGTAAAGAGGTCGTTTAATATCTTTAGGGAATGATATCATCCTAATAAGTCCAATAAAATTTTCATAGAATGGTACTGCTGCCCATGTGATAAGGGGTACAGCTTCGTTTATTCAATTTCTATTAAAATAAGGGTTAAGTTCTCTGCTGTGAGATTAAATTAAGCTCCCTATAAAGCAATTTACTGGAAGTGAGGTAGTCAAAAAAGGCACAAGTGCACAAAACCTGTCTTGACGTAACTTATCCCTAAGAGGGCCAGTGGAGTGTAGTAATGCCCTTGTCACAGTTAGGAAAATAGCCAAATCTCGCTGTACCATAATCTGTGGTATAAGGGGGTACATCATTATTCCAGAAGAACTTTCAGCTACAACACATATTTCTGCTTAAGGGAATTTATATATTATATGATATACATCTCAAACAATTTTTAGAATTTATTTTGAAATATATATGTGTTTTTTATCATAACCATAGGTCAGTACAATTTTTCTTAGATAAAATGTGGAGTTTTTTAAAGGGTCCTGAAAAGAGGGTATAATTGTACAGTCTTGTCTGAAAATAAAGGGTATCCAGATAAAAGTCTTAATCTACTTCATTTTTGAATTTTCGAAAATGATTTTGGTTTGTATGAAGCAAATGAAGATAAATATTATTCCCATATTATAGAAATACCAGAAATTAGTAACTTGAGGGCTTTATAATTAGGAAATCAAATGTTTTTATAATTCCATTCCCTACTTTATGGTTAGGAAAACTGCTCTCTAAAGAGAAGTGTAATGTGAATTTTACAGTGAGTTCGTGGCAAAATTGGTAGCATAGAGATGGTTTCCTTTATTATAAAGAAAATAATTTTAAAATGTATTTTAATTATTAAAAACTTTTTTGTCTTATGTTTATATCATTACTGTAGGTGCTGTTATCTCTCCATATACTCCCTGTAAATGTTGAATCTAAATATTTTGATTTTAGGCCTTTATTTCACCATATTTCTCCCTTTTCTTATCTGTAGTCTATTCTGAGTCTCTCAGAAGATTCTTTGAAGGTTCCAGATGAGTCCCTCTTCTTAAACAGTGGTGGAGATTCCTTAAAGTCTGTACGGCTCCTCAACGAGATTGAAAAACTTGTTGGCATGTCGGTACCTGGGCTCCTGGAAATTATTCTCAGCAGTTCCATTTTAGAGATTTACAGTCACATCCTTCAAGCAGTGTTTCCAGACGAAGATCAGACGTTTAGCAAGAATTATGCCACAAAAAGAAAATACAGCGACATTAATCAAGAAGAAACTAGTGGAGAATCTTTACATCAGAAATCAGTTGTGCCTTTAAATTTAGACAACAAGATAAATGCTTTTATTGCACTGAGCAGAGGGAGTCAGATATTGCCTCTGAATGCTGCTGGGTTTTTATCTAAGTTAGGACATTGCCCTTCAGCCTGTTCTTCTGATTTAATTTCACAGCCTAATGTTCAAAAAGTGCAAAGCTTAAGTCCTCCAGCTTGTATTGGGATGTCAAAAGATTCAACCTGTGCTGAAAAAGTTTATGAAGATGAAACTCCTGTGATAGGGGCTGAGACAATGGAGTTACGTGTGAGGTGGAGGTCAGACACAGGCAAATGTGTAGACGCTTCGCCTCTGGTTGTAATACCTGCTGTTGAAATGTCATCTGCAACTGTGTACATCGGCTCCCATTCTCATAGAATGATGGCGATTGACCTTTACTCCGGGAAGGTGAAATGGGAACAGATTTTGGGAGATCGAATTGAATCCTCGGCATGTGTATCTAAGTGTGGAAACTTTATTGTAGTAGGTAAGTTTCTGAATTTGAGGTTTACAAAGTTATATTTAATTATTATACAATAATGTAGTTAAGACTAAGTTAAATAAAAAATAAAAACTTGCATATGGTGGATTGGGCTGTCAAAGAATAATGGTTAACCATGTGATTCTCAGTGTGAGCCATGGGGTAGAGTCTCTGGACCTGACCTTAGCTCTAAAGCTGTTACCAGCTCTGCGACCTTTGACAAGTTGCTGAATCTCTTAGAACTTCAGTTTTCTCTTGAATTTGTGGACACAGTAAATTAAACATGTTGCTGCCTCACAAATTATCCCAAAATGTAATGGTTTAGAGTAGCATATTTATTAAATCTCACAGCTTCTGTGAGTCAGGAATTCAGGAGCAGCTTAGCTGGAAGTTCCAGCTCAGGGTCTTTCATGTGGCTGCAGCCCTCTGAAAGCTTGACTGGGGCTCACTCACACTGCTGCTAGCAGGAGGCTGTAGTTCTTTGCTGGATCTTGGCAGGAAGCTTCAGTTTCTGCCCACATGGGCCTTTCCTTAAGCTGCTTGAATACCCTCACGCACGGCAGCAAACTTTCCTCAAGAGTAAGAGATTCAAGAGAGAAAGGAGGGATGCAGTGGTTTTATGACTTAGTCTCTAGAATTGCATACCATAATTTTTGCTTTATTCTGTTCATTGGAAGTATCTCATTAAATCTGGCCCACACTCAAGTGGGGCTCGGGGAGAGGGGAGGGGAGTGGGGGTGGAGGGATTAGGCTCTTGAAAGGAAGAGTATCAGATAATTTGTGGACAAAATTTAAAACCACCACAATCATAATAGAGCTTTTGAGAGGACTAAATGAGATCAGTGCTTGTGAACGTCTTAGTACATTGCTAGGCACAGACTGAGTGCTCATTAGGTATTAGCTGCTACGCAGTTTCATTAAGAGTGGGTGACTTTTACTTAACTAGGGCTGGGGGGGTTCAAGTGTGGTGCCTCTCCGTTTTACTTCCCCAACTGCATTAGGTTTCATTTTGCATGTTACAGAATCTTTTCATCAAAACTTTTCAACCTAAGTGTGTAGAAATACACCTCCCTGCTTGTGCTATTCTAGCTGGGATCTACTTGAATCTGTGTTTGATCCTTCCCTTTCAAACACCTACATTTTGAAAATTAAACTATAGGAAACTTGCAGTTACACATGTGAGTGATCATGAGTAATCCCCATCCAGGGAAGTCGGCTCATTGAGGTTACTGTCAGCATCCCATGTCTACACTGAAAACTTATGGTACATGGTGGTCGCTTAGTACTTTAAACAAGACATTTCTCTTTGCAAACTGCTCTCTGGCTACAAGCAGTAACTGCTAGGAAAAAAACAAAACGAAACAAAACAACCCAGCACAGCAAGTGTTCTGGAAATTGGGCTTCAAGTGAGCAGCAGTGGTTAAAACCATAGGTGGAAACAGCTAGTAGGGGTGTGCTGCCCACGGCCCACAGGCTGCATGCAGCCCAGGATGGCAATGAATGTGGCCCAACACAAAATTGTAAATTTACTTAAAACCTTTTTATTTATTTATTTTTGGCTTCTCAGTTTTCCTCAGTGTTTGTGTATTTAATGTGTGGCCCAAGACAACCCTTTTTCTTCCAGTGCGGCCCAGAGACACCGAAAGGTTGGACACCCCTGGTAGAGAGTGATGGGCCAACGCCCAAATTCAGCTTCCCCAGGGAACTTGAGTGATCCTTGCTTTCTGGATTTTGGCCGTCCCCACTTCCACCTGGGATATTTTGGCTACGCCAAGTCAGGGGCTCCTCATCCGTACCAGCAGTGTGGGAGAGGCAGTCCAGTGTCGCTGGAAGAGCACAGGCTCTGGAGCTGGATTTCTTAGATTCAGAGTCTTCTCTGCCACGTGTTAGCTGAGTGGTTCTGCCCTAGTAACTCACTCTCTGTGCTGCAATTTTGTCATCTATAAAATGTTGCTGTAATGACACTTGCTTCACTGTGAGGGTTAAATGAGTTAATAGATATGAAATTCTTAGAATAGCACCCTTCACAAGGTGAACACCATTTTTGCACTGGGCGTTTATCTTGATTTTCACAACAACCCCGAAAGTAGGTAAATCTGCATCAGCAGAAAAATAATCTGAGGCTTAGCAACGCTGGCTAATTTGCTCAAGGGTAGCCATGACTAGATTTGAGTCCTGCTCTGTCAGAGCTTCTCTCCGCTGCAGCAGGCTTCACTGTTTCCTCATCGGTGGAACACTCCACAGTATTTTTTAAAATAAGGTAAGCCTACTAAGTAGGTATTTTACATAAGTGATGACTGTTCGGTTTCTGCTTTGCGTTGATGCAGTTTGAACCCGAGCTGCACGTAGACCCTAAGTACACATGAAGAGCATCGAATATCAATTGTCATGATTTAGGCTAAAGAATTATTTCCTAGAGACATCTAAATGTCACCTTTTATATTTTGTTTCCCAACAGGCTGTTATAATGGGTTGGTTTATGTTCTGAAAAGTAATAATGGAGAAAAATACTGGACGTTTACTACTGAGGATGCTGTCAAAAGCTCTGCCACCATGGACCCAGCCACAGGACTCTTTCACCTTGGCTCTCATGACCAGCACGCGTACGCTTTGGACATTTATGTAAGAATTTGCCTCATCAGTCGCTTACCTGGCAGAGTGTGAAACTGTCCCATGCACTTGGCGAGGGATACAGGTGTTAGCTATTTTCCAAGTTTAGCATGGTGATCTGGGAAGAATAAGGAGTTAAACAGTCATATCTTATGACATTTTTTTACTTCCTTGCCAAATCTTCACAAATAAATTTGCTACTCAAAGTTTTGGAATATAAAGAACTTAGAATTACTCTCCTGATAATAGCAAAGAGTCACAAAGAAAAATATCAGTAAGACCTGATTACATAAAAATTTAAAAAGTTAGAATTACAAAATTTAAAAGAAGTTGGGGGAAAAAATTGAAACTCATGTGACAGTTAAAGCTAACTTATATTTATGAGTGGAAAAGCAAATACAAGTTAAAATGAAAAACATAAAGACCTAGAAGATGATCTGACTTTGGGTGGTAGGCACACAATGCAGTATACAGATCATGAAAAAAAAAAGGAAAGAAAAAGGAAAATTAAACAAGGGACTCCAAAGAAGAAATGGTAGTAAATGTATTTAAATATTTCAATCCTTTAATAATCAGAGGAACGAATATTAAAAACTGTAGGAGAAACAAAGAGCATTAGATTAGAATGATGACGTTAAGTGCTGAAGGGAGTGATGGAAGGCTGTGACCAGTGAAGCGCCTGAGGAGAACAGTTTGGCCAGAGGTGACTATCGCATACCCTTTGATTCAGTAAGATTCTTCTTCTCGGAATCTGTCCTGGCAAAATAATCAGAAACATGGACAGATATGTGCACCAGGACGTTTCTTTCCAAGTTGTTTATAATTCCAAGGAACTAGATGCAAACAGTTTCCAATGATGAGGTAGAGAGATAAATTATTTTTTGTTCATATGGGGTATTATGTATTAAAGTAATATTTAAAGAGTTTTACCAAATAAGTGAGCCAGATTAGACACCAAGTATATATTCTAAATGATCTCGGCTATATTAAGCTCTGTGTGTATGTGCATATACCATTTATTACTTTTATATTAAAAATAAAAACTTATATTAGTTAAATGGACATAGCATGTATGAGACAGGATGTGTGAATTTGTTAACCACCAGCAGAAACCAATGAATTTGCTTGCTTATTTGCAGGAAAAGAAGTGTGTTTGGAAGTTAAATTGTGGAGGAACTGTATTTTCTTCGCCTTGTTTGAACTTGATTCCACATCACTTGTATTTTGCTACACTGGGAGGACTTTTACTGGCTGTAGATCCTGTAGGTATAAAATAGTGTATATTGATTCTATTACCTGTTTTTATTTAATATTCTTTTATTTTTACTTCGAATTGTGAACATCAGAGGTAGTTTCAGTTACATAGAACCCAGATATCATTGATCTCATTAAGAATATGGCATGAAGGCTAGAAAGATGAGTAAAATCAACTAAGCTGTACATGGCTTTTATCTCATTTTTAAGTTTACAGAATTTTCTCATTCACATTAGAAATTCGAATGGTCTAAGGATGGAAATTATGTGCTAGTTATTTCTTACCTGGTTGTGCTGCAAGTTTTTACCTTAGCTCTCATAAATAGCACTGGTTGATTTAATAGCTGTGCGTATGCACACCAGCTCCGCTGATAATCTCGGCCTGTCAGTAATGTCAGCATGTCACTGTAGCATTTCCTGACTTTTATAACTTTGCCTCCAGGAGACTTAGGAGTTTGTTTTGTACAGGGTAATTGAGTACAGTGATTGAAATGGGAGGAATTGCTTTCTGCCCATGACAGGCCACTGGGAACAGAGTCTGGAGACATTCCTGTGGGAAACCACTCTTCTCTTCTCCTCGGTGTTGCCTGCAGTATGTGTGCATTGGCTGTGTGGATGGGAATTTACTGTGTTTTACTCATTCTGGAGAACAGGTAAAATTTTCTAGTTCAGTTTCATGTATCTTTCTCAAAGCAGTAGGAATTGATGACAACTGAAGTCAAATTTTAAATGTCATTATTCAAGCTGTGTCAAAAACTAGTTCTGTTTTGTCAGGCCATGGGTTTCTTAATTTGTAAATGGTGCAATAGTAGATTCAAAAGATTCTATCCAAACATTGTTATACTTGTGCCATTCTCCTTTCCCCAATCTTGAAAAACTTTGCAGTTTTAAGCCAGTCTTATTTTAACTTCTGTTGAGGTTATGAAAATTTGAAGAAGCCCCTGTTTTTCCTATGAAAACAAAAATCTGTTGTGTAACTCACATTCCGTGGCAGAGATCCCATCTTTAGCTTCATGACTGGCAGGGCAGGCCCCTTCCGGGCCGTAGCCGATCTTTTGTTGGGAGCAGTGCCTGCGCTCCTTTAAGTAACCGCAAGTGACTGTCACTGGTGGCACACGTGCAGCCAGGGGTTTGATTTGGGGGATTGCCTTATGGACTTACAGGTGCCCTAGCTCCAACATAAGTTAGCCCATGGATGGCTAGATTCGATTCTGTGTGCTTTCATTCCACACTCACCCCTCATTGCCTAGCAGTTTCCTTTGCTCTGTGTGACAATCACTTTTTGATGAAATCTTTTATTTTGTTCGTATAATGTTTTTATTTTCAAAGTTCTTACTAAGAAGTAAGAGGTGGCAAATGCAATTACTCCTGTTTGTGTGGATGAACCATAGACAGAGTAGTGACTTTGTCCACGTCAGGGTCAGAAATGAGATTATAAGTCATATTTCATGAATATGCCCATTCTTTATTACATTTGTTTTTTATTATGCTGCTGTTAACAGTGTGCGTTTGTAAACACTACCTTAGACTTGTGCCTTTTCTTCAAAATATTGGCCAACAGGTTTTTCTCTAGTAGAAGCTTTGAAATAAGCAAATAGTATATATCCACACGTCAGACACACATCTCATAGCTTCTTATTTAAAGCTTTAAGTTATTGAATATGAATTCTTCCTTTCAGTCCACTTACTTCCTTCTCCCTGCATTAGGAGACTACAATGAGATATAGTTTTTGATAATATACATTGAAAACTCAGTGCAGTTTTATTTTTAAACTCAGTGTCTCTAAAAATGCTAGTAATAACTCTTGAATGGGGTTCAAATTAATTTTATTTAATATTGTGCGTAGCAACGACTCATGCAATAAGTATACATGGTGTATTTTGTGCTGGATTTTAACACTGGACAGAGGGTGCTACTTTCAGAAATACCCATGTTTTCTGTGTGTAGTTACCATTCAATAGCCTCCATCCCTTACATTTTATTAAGAATTGCATGAAGCCTTAACATACAGAATTGTTGAAATGAAATAAATGAGTTATTTTTGCCTTTTCACCCTTCAGGTTTGGCAGTTCTCTACCAGTGAGCCAATCTTTTCATCCCCATGTACCTCCGCATCAGAGCAAGAAATATTTTTCGGTTCCCATGATTGCTTTGTCTACTGTTGCAGTATGAAAGGTCACCTCCAATGGAAATTCCAAACTACCTCCAGGGTGTATTCAACACCATTTGCTTTCCATAACCACGATCGTAGCGATGACATGTTGCTGGCAGCAGCATCTACTGATGGGAAACTGTGGATACTGGAATCCAAGAGTGGACAGTTGCGAAGTGTGTATGAACTTCCCGGGGAAGTGTTCTCCTCTCCTGTGGTCTGGGAATCAATGCTTATTATTGGATGTAGAAATAATTATGTTTATTGTCTGGATATGTTGGGGAGCAACAAAAATAATCAAGTACAGTCTTTAACAGAATATAGCTGAGGTGTTTGAAAGTATTTATCATTATAAAAAGCATGTGGATAGTTTTATTGCATGATAAAGATTATATTTTGTTTAAGAAACTTGTCTATTACACTTTATTGGAGAAAAACCATGTTTTATTTCCTGTAGGAACAACAGATACTTTTTAAAGGAGTTATAAAACAAAACACATCAGTATATTTAATAGCACTTTTTAAAAATCAGGCTAGAGCTATTTGCTTTTTTATAGAAGCTCTCTGTGGAAAAAAGATCAGAATACACTTGGTGACTTAAAAACTTAGTCTCTGAGGTAATACACCATTCACTTATTTATACTGAGATTCACAACAAAAGATTAAAAAAAAAAGATTTTATTTATTCATTTACAGAGAGCGGGAAAGGGAGAGAGAAAGATGGAAACATCAATGTGTGGTTGTCTCTCGTGCACCCCCTACTAGGGACCTGACCTGCAACCCAGGCGTGTGTCCTCACTGGGAATCAAACCTGTGACCCTTTGGTTTGCAGGTCTGCACTCAATCCACTGAGCCACACCAGCCAGGGCCATAACACAACATTTTTAAAGGTAGGATCTATTCATCAAATCACATTCCTTATTGAGTAATTTTAATTTTTTAAATTGAATTGTTTTGGATAACATTGGTAAATAACATACATTTCAGCTGTACAACTTTATAATATGACATCTGTATAGTCTGTTGTGTGCTTACCACCTGAAACCTATTCTCCTCTCACCATATATTTGACCCCCTTTACTCTCTTCATCCTACCCTAAACCCCTTCCACTCTGAGAACCACCATTCTGTTGTCTATGAGTTTGTTTGTGTGTTGGCTTTGCTAGTTCATTTGTTGCTTTTGGTTTTATATCCCATATATGAGTGAAATCATAGAGTTCTTGTCTTTTTCTACTTGACTCATTTCACTTAGGATAATACTCTCAACTTTCATCCATGTTTGGTCAAATGGGACTATCCCATCTTTTTTTATGGCTCAGTAGTATTCCATTGTGTATATACACCACATTTTTTTTCAAATATAAGAGAGTTTATTTAGGAAGTTACAGAGGTAGGAAACGTGAGCTCTAGAAGAAACGGGCTGAGGAAACAAGTTGCAGAGGCAAAAGAAGGGCCCTTGGAACTTAGGAAAGTGTACTCCAAAAGAAGATTTGAGCGGGCATGCGCTGGGGGAGAGGAGGAGAGAGAGCACTATACGTACTGCATTTTTATCCAGACATCCTTCGAAGGAACCTTAGGTTGTTTTCACACCTTGGCTATTGTGAATCATACTGCAATGAACATAGGGTACATACGTCTTTACAAGTGTTTGCAAACTTTCTGGGAAGATACCCTGAAGAGGGATTGCTGGGTCATATGGTATCTATCTTAATTTTTTAAGGACCCTTCACACTGTTTTCAATTGTGGCTGCATCAATTTACATTCCCACCAGCAATGTGCAAGTATTCCATTTTCTCCACATCCTCCCAACAATTGTGATTTCTTATTGATAATAGCCATTCTAAAGGGTGTGAGTTGTGGTGCTGATTTGCATTTCCCTTACAACTGGTGATGTTGAACGTCTCTTCATGTATCTGTTGGCCCTCTGTATGTTTTCCTTAGAAAAGTGTCTATTTAGGTCCTCCACCCATTTTTGAATTGGATTGTTTTTTGTTGTTATTGAGTTGGATGAGTTCTTTATATTGGATATTAGCCCCTTATTGGAGGTGTCGTTTGCAAATATATCCTATTCAGTTGGTGGCCTTTTTGTTTTGTTGATGGTTTCTTTTGCTGTGCAGAAGTTTTTTAGTTTAATGTAGTCCCATTCATTTGTTTTTGCTTTTACTTCCTTGCCTTTGGGGGTCAAGTTCACAAAAGTCCCTCTGAGACCAATATCCATAAAGTTAGTGCCTGTTTTTTCTTCTATGTATTTTGTTGTTTTAGGTCACACATTTAAGTTTTAATCCATTTTGAGTTACTTTTTGTGTGTGGTGACAGATAATAGTCTAATTTCATTATTTTGCATGTGGCTTTCCAGTTTTCCCAACACCATTTATTGAAGAGGCTTTCCTTTCTGCATTGTATGTTTTTGGTTCCTTTGTCAAAAATTAGTTGCTGTTCTATGTGTGGGTTTATTTCTGGGCTTTCAATTCTGTTCCATTGGTCTGTGTGGGTTTCTGCCAGTGACATACTGTTTTAATTATTGTAGCTTGTAGTAAAATTTGAAGTCAGGGAGTATGATATCTCTGCTTTGTTTTTCTTAGGATTTCTTTGGCTATTTGGCATCTTTTGTGGTTCCATAAAAATTTGAGAATTTTTAAAAACTTTTTGAACAATGCCATTGCAATTTTGATAGGGATTTCATTAAATCTGTATACTGCTTTAGGTAACATGGTCATTTTAACTATGTTTTTCCTTCCAATTCATGAACATGAAATATATTTGTATTTCTTTGTGTCATCTTCAATTTCTTTCAACAATATCTTATAGTTTTCAGTGTATAGGTCCTTCATTTCCTTTTTTAAATTAAAAAAATGTTTTTAAACTTTTTTTCAAGATTTTATTTATTTATTTTTAGAGAGAGGGGAAGGGAGGGAGGGAAACATCACTGTGTGGTTACCTCTCACACCCCCCCACCAAGGACCTGGCCCACAACCCAGGCATGTGCCATGGCTGGGAATTGAAACAGCAACTCTTGGGTTCCCAGGCTGGCACTCAATCTACCGAGCCACACAAGCCAGGGCCATTTTGCTGTTTTGATTGGGTGCTTTCCACTGTTCTGTATTCTAGGTTGCTAATCCATTCGTATGTATTAACTAATCCGATATTGATTCTAATGTATTCTTCACTTTGGGTAATATATTCTTCATCTCTGATTGGTTCTTTGTGTCCTAATTCTTCTCTCTTAATTTCTCTATTCTATTCTCAAGTTTGTTGAGCATCCTTATGACCACTTATTTGAATTCTTTATCAGCACATTACTTATCTACATTGAGGTTTTTTTTCTTGTTTTTTCATTTGGGGCATTTTTGTTTTGTTTTCCCATTCTGTTTGATGCTGTTCCTATGAGTTAGATGAAATAGTTATCTTTCCCAATCTTGAAAAAGTGGCCTCGGTGTAGACTGTTGCGGGATGGTTGGGGCAGGCCTGTTGTAGTTGGGAACTGTGGTTCCCAGGGTGCCACCTGACCAGGCGTTGGTTCCAGGTGGGGCAGCCTGGTGTGTGCTCACTTCCTTACCCTTCTGATCTGGGGCAGGCTTCCCGGGTGCCCTCAGTGCACCCTGTCGCTTATTTGTTGCCTGAGCCTGGTCTGGGTGGGGCTGCTGAGTTCGCGTGTTGCAGTGCCTACTAATTTCACACTTACCCTGGATGAGGCAGCCCCGTATGCACACACAACAGCACTTTGCTGGTTTCACCCTTGCTCCAGGCAGGGCAGCCCTACATGCTCGCATAGCATTGCCACACCAGTTCTGCACCCTCCAGGAAGGCAGCCCTGTGTGTGGGCACTGCAGCGTTTTGCTGGTTCATCGCTCTCTCCAGGCAGGGAGGCCCAGTTTGTGTAGTCCAGTGGGTGCCTGCGTCGGCACTCTGCTGTGCACACTCTATCAGTCTCCAGGGGAAAGGGCCCAGGTGTAAGGGCTGTAGCCCCCTCCTGATCCTGCTGGGTCTGCTCCAGGAAGCATGGCTGGGGACATGCCAAAGTGGCCCTGCAGGTCAGCCAGAGAACCTGGACAGAACTCCTGCCTGCTGTCCAAGGGCAGGGGAAACGTAAACAATGGTGCTCACCAGTTCTTCTGGTCCTAGACAGTCTCCTCAGCTCCCGGAGAGCTCCTGTGCTTCCCCCACCTTCTGTGCAGGCTCTCCTGTGTGCAGAAGCTGTTCAGTTGTCCCTCAGTTGTCTCTCAGAAGAAACTGCTTTCCATGAAGATACACATTTGATGTATCCTTAGGAGGGGGTAACTTCTTCATCCTCCTCCACCTCCACCTTGGAACTGCCTCCAAAACAGTGTCTGGGGTTGTTTTGCACCGGAGGTAAGTACCTCACTCACATTACCACTTCGACCTCATCCAGCTGCACAGGTCGGTAGGTCTGGCCCAGGGCTGTAAGCTCTCCACGTACGCCCGTGCTGCTGTTCTGTGACCCACGCTTTGGGGGAGGAGGTTGTCGGATCATATTCTCTGAGACACAGACCCTTGATTCCAACTTAGGATTGAGATAAACATTTTTATTTGACCCTATTCAGTATTCTTCTCCAAAAACACCTAGTAAAAAAAGTATAATAAAGTACCACATAAAATACTTTGAAATTTTTCTTTCTCAACAAGAGCTATGTAAATAGGAGGTCCCTTGAAATTGGTAAAAATGTCAACTTGCAAAGGAGATTCTGTCAGTGCTAGAGATCTTGTGGGTATTTTTTATTGAAAGATGATTTTCCTTCAACAATGGACATTTTACATTGAAACTTTATACAACCAAAATCTCAAAATAATATTAAAATCACACTAAGGTATTTTCATGGTTAAGCCTCTACTTAATTTTATTGTTGGTAAAAATATTGCAAGACGCTTGTAACTCTAATATTTCTGCTTTAAAATAAGCAATTAAACGTCACAAGAAGAGACAATGAATACATACTACAGTTTGCTGATAACTGGCTAAAATGATAATTTAATAGTGATTAATGTATAAGGAACAATTGCACTTGAAAAATTTAAAAAGTAAACAAAAAAATTCTAGTTTTATATATAGGTGTCTATGAATGGAGGTTAATCATCTATAACCTTGCCGGGACAAGTGTTTGCTTTAATTTTTTTAAAAAGCTGTATATGTAACATAGCAATGAGATTTTTTTGTCTTGAATCTTTTATGTTTTTACAGAATTTCCCCCAAAGTTTGTTGATGTGAAAAAGACTGCAACACAACTAAAGCAAAATAACACTTCACTGGTATTTAGTGCAAATCTGGAGTATTTTTATGTGAAATATTAAACATGTAGCCTTTAGGAGTTTTGGGAAGTCAGTGCTGTGACCGTGCCTTCCGCAGTATGCTCTCCTGTCAAGACTGGGAGGAAACTTCCACTGTGGCATTTCTCTTACTTTGTATGGGCCTTGCCAGAGGTGAGCCAGGGCAGTGGACTCGTCCACCATTCTTGGTTAATACGTCCGACTGCTTTGCTTGTTCTCTGTCATTACTCTGATATTATCTAAGGCTGATAGGATGAATGAAAAGGTCAATTCAGAAGAATTACTGTAGCACAGGACTCTAGGTGGAAAATTCCTATTAAAAAGTGTTATATTAGTGAGGAAATCATCGAAACTAACAAATGCTTACATATTTGATTTGGAAATGAACATCAGTTGGAAAATGTGCATGGACTATTGCTCTCCATAGCAACACAAAATTAGTTACACTGATTCTTAAC